TAAACACGAAATTATATAATGATCTTCAAGGAAACGGAACGGTGACGAAGATGATGTCTCCAATGCGAAGGAGATGGTTAAAAATGTTAAAACGCATTCAACTCAGCAAGTTGGGAGCGCATCATAGCGAAGAATCTCCAATTATTTCAAAGCGGATTACTTTGGAGATAGACCTACCACAGAAGAGAGGCAAGCAAGAAATCCCATAGAACAAGTGAAAACGTACCTCAGGGTTCAAGTTCTCTAGAATTGTATGTGAGAGGATATCGTGTACGTGTACATATAGGCTGCTGAACAGATTAACGGAACGGCGCCACTTTCGCACCGAACATGCAGACGATTCTGGCGAGCGTGTGTAAGGGTTTGTCGGAAAAGGATCGATGAAATAAAAAGTTTCAGATGAAAATAAGAAAGAATTGTTGGCTTTTTTCGAGATTGCCCCGGTTCCTTATCTACTGTGGGCGTGTCTGCCGGCAATTTAATATTGATTTTTTGCCCTTTCCTCCCCAATCGATGTGAGCAAAATGTCAGAAGTCAAGTGTCCAGTGCTAAACTATCAAATTCGTTGGCATTATTAGGTTTTAAGAATCAACACAATGTTCATATGGCAGTGCAAGAGAACGATACGATTTCAAATACTCTCATACACACATTTTCTAATAATACCAATCTAAATTTCAATCTAAACTTGAAGAGAATCACGAAATTTTTTTTTTTTATTTTCAAAGTTTTATTTTTCATCATCGCGAGTCAATTATTATTTCGTTCCTGCAAAGCCATTTTGATTGTTGAAAGGTATGGGATGAAATGGATGGTCGAAGATTTACTTGCCACCGCCACCACCACCACCACCACCGCCTCCTCCATGAGGTTCAGGCAGAGGATTGGGTGAACCTATGGTTTAGCGGAATAAATGAAAGCAATAAAATAATTTTTGTCTTTTTGAAAAGGACGTGATTTACTCACCCATAGCTACAGCTATCAAAGCCAGTATCGATGCTAATATCGTAAACAATTTCATATTGAAGTGACAATGTGATGCTCTGAAGATCTGACACTTTTATTTATACTAAATTTTTCTACTCATTACGTATTTAATATAAAGTAACGAAATAAAACATATTTTTCTTCTTTTTTTTTTTTTTTTTTTTTTTAATTGACGACATATGAGCAGCGAGCCTGATAACAAAATTCACGGCCAATTCCATATTGGTTTTTTTTGGGAAACCCAATAAAAAGGCAAGTTCTCAAAAGTATTGAAATTCTAAGAAATTTAATCAAGTGTGCTTAAATGCATTTCGCATTT